GGGGGCGCAGGGCGGGCGCGGGCCAGCTCGGCCCGGAACGCGCGCCGCCGGGGCCGAGGAGGGGACTGGCCAAGCTGGTGGAGGAGAGCAGGAAAACGTGGGGGAGGTGCTGGCGAGAGAAAGAGAACTTGCGTGAGGAGGAGGAGAAACCAAATATTTGGCGTGGAAATGGGATTTTGGGGTTTTTTTCTGGCATCTTCAAATCAGGAAAAGTGAAATTAATCAACATTTCCCCCCCTCCCCTCGACAAATGAGGATTGCTTTCTCCCTGGGTAAGTGAAGAGAACTGAAGCAGGTAAGAGGATAAGCTGACTTTTCAGAAGCCCCCAAAGAACACCCTTTGGAATTAACCACCCTTTAGGTAATTCAGTCTTGAACGGAAATCGCAAGTCAGGAGCTGGGTTGAGTGCTTCTCAGTCGGGCATTCAAAGCCCTCCAAATCTGGCCCCACTTTAGTTATCCAATCATAGCTGCCTCCATCCCCCTGCAAGAACTCCCGGCTCCAATCAGTGAAGTCTCCATGCCATTCTCAACGCGCAGCAGATTCATTCTTCCTTCGTGCCTTTGCTCATGCTGTTCCCCTCACCTCCCCACCCCACCCCCTTTCCAGGAATGCCCTCCCTCCCTCCTCTATACCGCTCTCAAGCCAACCCAGGCTCTAAGGCACAGCTCAAGTCGCGGCTTGTCAGGGTCCCTGGCAGCCAAGGTCCCTGCCTGCCTCTGAGAGAAATGCATGCAGTTCTCTCGCAACATGGAGGCTCAGGCTCCAGCCATAAGCACCTTCTTTGGAGCCAGTTGAACCCTTGGACGCACTCTCTGCGCCCTTCTGCCCATTCATACTTAAGAGACACTTTTGGCCACTAGGAATAAGACTCTGCTAGAAACAAGCAAGTCCCCTTTAAGAGCAGAAGAATTGGCTTTTCTAGGTGGGGCTGATCAGGGCGGCCTGAACTGCCTGGCTGTAGAAGACAACAGCCAAGGCCTTTGGCACCAGATGGAACAGCTGCTCAACTCACACTGACCTTTCTCTGGGCCTGTGGGTGTTGTGAGCTCTTCAGCTTTAACTTTTCTGACAGTTTCTATCAGGTTTCTACCTATCAGGTTCTCTGGCCACTTTCCTGCTGTGCTTGGACTTTGGGCCATGGAGGCTCTGCCACCTTTTAGAGTCCTGGGTGGGGAATCTGATTGGCTTGGGCTTCCTGGCTTCTGAGTGCTCTCTGCCCTGCCTTGCCCTGGAACTCTCTTGCTTTTGCACCACTGTGCACTCAGGCCTGGCTCCCAGATTCACCCTGAACACTCGCAGATGCAGATGGTGGGGTGTGGTGAAAGGGGAGGGAGGAAGGACACCTGGGTACAAAACACAGCTCCTCCATGAGGATTTCAGGCTGCTTCCATCCCTTTGCATCCTGATACCCTTTGCACTGATTGTTTAATACAAATTACCTAAGGTCACTCTTAGCCACTTTAGGAAAATATAGGTTGTTTATGAATTCATTTTGCATATGTACCTTTGTGTCCTATGGAAAGAGTATTTTTCTGTACCTAATTGATAGACATGGTGTGTACTAGACAGAAGCTTTGAAGAAGAATAAAAATAGATAATGTTTGTTGAGCACATTCAGCATGCCAGATCTAGCACTTTCCATACATATCATAGTTATTCCTTCCCAAATTATATATATATACTGTAGGTGCTATTATTCTCCTATTATAGAGATGAAACAGAAGCTTAGAGAGGTTAAATAACATTCTTAAAGCTATCCAATTAGTGAGGGAGCCAGGAATTTGATCCTGGAAGTCTAATTCCACAATCTGCAACCCATGCTGAAAATGATGTAATACTGAAAAATCTTGAATGTATATGTAAACTCTATATCCATGGGGAAGATGGAGGAAGTAAAAAAAAAAAAAGCATTCGGGAAAGTTGCCAAGTCCCCCAGATTCTAATTTTTGACTTGGTCAAGAAAGAATGATGGCTCCACCTTGCCACACCCAGGCAGGGGGAGATCCTAGGGAGTAGGAGATTTCATTCGAGAAAGATAATGTTTCTGAGACCTGCCAAAGGTCTTAGGGAAAGGAAGCTGAGAAACAAGACTTTCTTTTAAAGTACGCTACCCGGTGTCACACAGGCTGGCTTCCCGAGTGCAACTTTTGAGAGCTTTTTTATCCGTTCCATGAACAAGCCATGTTACCCTAGCTGCCACTAGAGGGCTCAGCAGAGCTGCAGCCCTGAGCTGCCCTGCGGTGGGCGTGGAAAGGGCGGTGCTGTCTAGAGGGCATTGTTGAGCCTTTGGGGCCTTCAGGGACCAACAGGCAGCTGGAGAAGACATCTGGGACTCTTGGGTTTAACCAGCAATGAAAGGGGTGGTGGGTAGTATCAGACGGAAGAGACCTAATTGCCAGAATGAGACATCTTTGCAGGGAGGAAAGGATCAGCCCCCACTGCTCCCTTAAAATCTGGGAGTAGAGTGTGTTTTATTGCAGTCTTCAGAAAGGGCTACAAATAAAATAATGCCACTCGAAACCTAAAAGAAACCTGACAAAGTTACCCAAAATCTTGAGTAGGGACGCACACCAAACCCAGGCACCCTGAGTAAAAGTAACAGTGTAGGCATGTACTTCTGAAATTGTGTTTTCCCCTGTGGTCATGAAACCCTGTACTAAGGTCTCCGAAGCACCCACAATCAATGTGGCTCATTTTCTTAGACCTTCAGTTTGACTCAGTGAGAATAGAAAACATTAGAGTAAGCATGAATTTTTAAGATAACGCTAGATTTTGAGCTTATATGTCCCAACCCTGAGGAGTATAAATCTATACTCCCTGTGACAGTGTACTCCAGTGGAAAATTCCAAGAAACATTAATGTAGTGGGGTAGAAAGACTGGTCATCGAGTCAAAAGACCTGGGAATTCAAACCCTCTGTGTCCACCTCTATAAAAATGAAAATAGTGACCTGCTTCACAGGGTGGTTATGAGGAACAACATGTAAAGTGATATCTAAACCATGGAAGTGCAGTATGCATAGAAAGACAATCTACAAGGTGGATTGTGAGCACCTCAAAGGTAGTGACTGTGTTTTATTTATCCTGGTAGTCCTGGGATACAATTCTTTACTCCTAGGTATTGAGTAAATATTTGTTGAATGCAGGAGGTACTTAGCCTTAATTTTCTTAGCCCAATACATTATACCATCATGTTCTTCTATGTCTGTAAACCTTGTCTCTTTATGAAACTAAACTTTTTGTACTGTCCAGACTGTAGCATATACATTTATCATATATTTATCCTGCCTGATATACAATAGTATCGGCCCCCAAAATATAAATACATACATACAATATAATAACCTGGTCCCGGGACGCCTGGGTGGCTCAGGTCATGATCCCAGGATCCTGGGGTCGAGTCCCACATCGGGCTCCTTGCTCAGTGGGAAGCCTGCTTCTCCGTCTCCTACTCCCCCTGCTTGTGTTCCCTCTCTTGCTGTCTCTCTCTCTGTGTCAAATTAATAAATAAAATCTTAAAAAAAAAAAAAAAGAACCTGGTCCCAACTTGAAATAGTTCACATTCTTTGGAAAAGAGAGAGACATATTAACATATATTAATTGTACGAGATGATGAGTTCTATAATAGAATCGTGTCTACCAATGTTAGGGAGACATCGTGGAGGGAGGTATTGGTCCTGTTAAGGGTAAAACAGCCGTTTAGAAAAGGCATCTTGGCTAGCATTTTAATTGGATCTCACTGGATGAATAGAAGTTCAATAGGCAGAGCACTGAGGGAGGAGGATTTTGGCATAAGCACTGGTGCGAAGCCATGAAAGAGCACATGGGATGAGTGAATAATGCATAGCCCAGTGTTAGCTCGGTGCTCAGATCCTTAATGGAGTGTATAGAGGAGGGAAAGGAAGGAGAGGGAGACACAAACCCGTTTTTACAAGATGTTACTCTGTGTTATTAGTTATGATTGTTCTGACAAAAGATGAGGCCTAAAATAGGTTTCATCAATAGTAAATATTGGTTAAGTGCTTCATGTATACATTTCACTTCCACAAATTAGGGTGGTTTACAAATATGGAAAAGATAACATTCGACCCTATTCTCTTAAAAACAACAAAGTATTCCCTCATCCTCTTTTCCCTTGGTCATTACTTCCACTGTCTCTTCCATTGCAAACTTTTCCTCCTAGGAGTTGAAAGTAGAATATGTAATCACCCACATGTTATTATTTATGGGAATAAGAAAGGAAGGCTTTCCACCTCCAAAAACAGGAATTCTCCTGTTACAGCACAAATATTCCATTATGTCATTGAAACAATGGTTTGTTAAGACAAAGTAGCCAAACTATTCAAATACTGAGCAAGGTAGCAGGATGTTAACACTGTCACTACCTGGCTCTGTGACCCTATCTATGTAAGCTATTCTTTCAGGTTATCTCTAAGGATTAATGGGATAAAGTTCTCAAAATGTACTTGGCTCTTCAAGTGAGAGGTATTATGAAAATGAATGCCAGGTACTGCTTTGATTTCACATAGAAACTCTTCACTGTTGTTACCATATACATGTTTATATTGTGACCTGCAATTCTCTTTATATTAAAAAAAGGTTCAAGTTAATATCATCTGCCTGAATGTTAAAGGACGTGTTTACTTTTGCTTGGGGCTAGAAAGGTCCTAAGTAGAAATTTGATATCTTAGAAATTCAGCCTAGCAGAAGCTGTGAACAGAAGCAGGTAAAGAAAAAGTATATTTAACTAATCCTAAAA